AGAGTGTGTCCCCTCAGCCCTCCCAGCCTCCTCCTGGCCCCTCACTCATCGGGGATGATGTAGATGTCCTCTCTGTGCTGCAATGAGTTGGCGTAGATGGGTTGGTCCCCGGGATCTGCCTCACTCTCCAGGAAATAGTTGTCATCCACAGGGATCTGGGGGCTGGAGGGACAGGAGGATCCCAGTGTCATGGGGCAGCTCGGGGTGGGGATAGGAATCACAGCTTGAGAATGGTGGGATGGGATGGGATGGGAGGGCGAGATGAGATGAGATGAGATGAGATGGATGGGATGGGATGGATGAGATGGGATAGATGGGATGGTATGGCCCAGCACAGGGTGGGATGGGATGGGATAGATGGTATGGTATGGCTCAGCACAGGAGGAGATGGGATAAATGGGATGAACAGGATGGGATGGGGAGGGATAGATGGGATGGCTCAGCACAGGGTGGGATGGGATGGGATAGATGGTATGGTATGGCTCAGCACAGGAGGAGATGGGATAAATGGGATGAACAGGATGGGATGGGGAGGGATAGATGGGATGGCTCAGCACAGGATGGGATGGGATGGGATGGGATAGATGGGATGGAAGGGATGCCATGGCTCAGCACAGGATAACATGGGATGGAATGGGATAGGATGGGATGGGAAGGATGGAATGGAATGGACAGGGTGGGATGGGATGGGATAGATGGGATGGATGGGATGCCATGGCTCAGCACAGGATAACATGGGACGGAATGGGACAGGATGGGACGGGAAGGATGGAATGGGCAGGATGGGCTGGGATGGGATAAGACAGGACAACACAGCAGGGCACAGCACAGCAGGGAGGGGAGCAGCTCCCCATGCCTGACCCTTACCTGTAGCTCTGCTCCTGCCACCCTGGCACCCATCCCTGTGCAGCCACCTGGGCCGTGCCAGGGCTGACGAAGACATTCTCGTAGTCGGGCGCGTTGGTGCCATCGGCATTGCCCATCCCTGTGTCCCTGCTGATGTACCTTGGCTGCCTGAGAGCTGCCCCAGGATCCTGCTTCCCCCAGCCCGTGCCACTGGCACCAGCTCTCCTCCTCTGGTACCAAACCCCAGCAACACCCACAGCCACCAGCACCACCACGGCGGCCACGGCGCCAACCACGCCACCCACCAGCGCCGCGCTGGCACCGCATTCCCGGCCGTGGAATTCCGTCACGTTGAAGGAATCCTGGCTGGATGTCAGGCAGAGGCACTGGGTGGTTTTCTGGGCACAGGGGGTTAGGATGGTGCCCAGCAGGTCGCAGTGGCAGGACACGGTGAGGTGGTGTAGGGTGTGGAAGGCTGTGGAGGGCACAGAGCGGAGAGGGTTCCCCTGCAGCAGCAGCGTCTGCAGCTTCGTGGCGTTGGTGAAGAAATTTTGGGGCAGCTCCTTGAGTTGGTTGTATGCCAGGTCCAGGTACTCCAGTCTGGGCCCCAGGTAGGATGAAGGGCTCAGGGCCTTGATGCCATTGTGTGCCAGGTACAGCTGGCGCTGCTGCTGGAATGGGCTCCAGTCCAGCTCAGCACATCCACAGCTACTGTTGGTCAGGTCCAGGACTTCAGGAGGGTCTGGTGGCACTGCCAAGCAGGGGGGCATAGGG